GAAGGCTTGGAAGTTTTCAACTGGCCTCAGTCTGAAGCACGTGTCCATCCGAAATACTTAATGCAAAATGAAATCTACTGCAACAGACCGTAAAATCAAATTCATGTTAAAAAGCTCCGTTTAAACTCATCGCACTTCTACAAAAAATTTAGATTACATCCTATGCGCATTATCATTATGAACTGCCAGCTACCAAAGGGGTGAGAACGAAGTGCAGTTGCAAATGAGGAATGCACAGGAGAGCGTGGCCGCAGATTTCGCCCATTCTGGAAGGACACACCGGAACTCAAAGCCGTATTTATTATCCGCATGTCACTGAGTTACCATCCGATCTCGCCGGGTTCCACCGGAGTACAGTGAGGCAATTTCACGGATCAGTTATCAGTTAAGACAAATACTTGTACTTTCGCAGCGACTGAATTCGGTGCTCTGAGTTAGGGGCCGATCCGATCTGTTAATTACTGTAATACTGCAGCCAAGCAACATCCAAGCATCCAATCGCAGCACTCAATTAGGCATTCGAGCTCAAAAATGATTCTTCATCCAGAGAGGGAAAATATTACAAAACAGTTTTTAATTCCATAATCGGTTTACCATCTTAAAATCTTTCTTGTGATATAGCAGTGGTACAAACATTTACACAAAGTACAATAATACACATAAGCCACAACCCGCTTCCGTTCTCTATTCGCTCGTTCATTCGTTAATTTTCAGAGCACCCTACTCCCTCAGGTTTCGGCAGTAGCCATTTAAGAGATCCATCCAATGGCTTAAGTCCTATGGCAGTCGAATCACATGCACAAGCTAGATTAAGAATAAAATGTTAAATAGATGCTTGAACCACCTGCCTCTTGCTGAAACCTTTGACAACCTGAACGTAATTTTGTGGAAAAAGTTGAAGTCTGCGAGTATCGCTCGGTGCAAACGTTCTGATCCAAAAAAGCAACGCATGTATATTTCTAATGGTAGGAAATGACAGAAAACGCATTTTTATGACAGTAAGTTTGCTAGAGTTCGATTAAGAGTCGTGGAAAACCTGTTACTCGCGAAAAATTGAAAAATGCCCATGTTAAATGGCCTTCATCTAATGAATATTTTATTTACACAGGGTACAGAGGCGAGTCTTTCCTTCTGTTTTTCGAAACCGCCATTGTAGCTGCAAAGGAAGCTATCAATTAAACGTACCTTGGAGCAACGTTAACCGAGAAAAGGTGCTCACTCGACCCAAATGACTTTTCTACTGAGCGGCCGCGTTGAGGTATCTGTTTGATCACGTGCAGCACGTGAGCATAGCGAGTGAGAAGTTAACTTTACACCTGCTGTCCACAACGAAATCCCTATGAACCAACGACCGCAAGCCCATTCTTACGGCAGCCCTCCAAATTTGCGCTGAAACGTCCATAGGGGTAGATCAATCTACACATCGACTTTTATGCATTGCGTAAATCATATCCATTCTATGGCGTTTCAGTGCGACCACGAATTTACAAACAAGGTATTGCGAATTTGAATAAAGAATTTAGTTCAAAACGACCTAACATGAGGTAAGGATTATTCATACTCATCACTGACATACACTTGAATCCGTACAGATTCACCTAAGAAACTAGAAATCCCAAAAGGCTTGCTACACCTCAAAGTGACGAAGGCCTACAGAATGTATAGAATTCCTCCGG